ATGTAGTGACATCTATGTAATTGTTATTAAAACTATCATAACGATACGCCATCTGTTGGAAAGTCGTAGTACCTATTAAGTATAATCGATGTACAAGCTTTTATATTCAAAAGAACCTCTTATAAATGTCTGATTGATGTAATAAAATCTGAAAAGAAAAAGTATCAATGAATAAATAACAGAAATGGCAATAAATAAAAATATTGAGCCAATAATAACATTGTATTTAGTATAAAATAAAAATTAATAACATATTTAGTAAATTATATTCTTTTGAAATTACATTATAGTAATTTATATATAAACAATTTGATGCATAGATTTTTTTTTAATAACATAGGTAACAATATATTTAGATAATGCACTATCTAGTATACAGTACCAACATAATAATATCTCTATTTTTAATTAGCGATTTTGGCTGCGTATTTATAGCCAGTCAAGACAAACGATTTTGTAAGTATAGTTAAAATGAGCTTATGTGTGGAAATTAATATGCGAGCACATTAGTATTTAAAAGAAATTCCTACTTAGAAGAAAAATAAAACATTTTACAATAGGTTCCATATAGGTACAATATATAGGCACTAAGACTATAATCATACAATGAGGCTAATTATTTATTTTTTTAATTATTTAACAGCATACTTACATCAATTTTTTAAATACATCAACACTTTAATAACATAAAGTATAAAGTTTCAAAAACGGGGATATCTATGTTTTGACATATTTTTACTGAATATTACAAGCAAATGGTGACCAATTAGAAAAATTATCCATATTTTCTTATAGGATACCATTTGCTTGTAACGAATGGTTAAAATTCAAATCAGACAATTAGCTGCTACTCCCCGACAGATGGCGTTAGGTGTCCATATAATTATCGTATTACTGGCGGGAACGTAATACAACAGTCTCAATTTTAACACAAGAACTAAATAATTTATTATAACTACTATTATAAGATCATAATAATAATATGTACTATGAGTGAATATTATATAATAGTATTATAATTTATAATAAGGTGGTCGATTCTAAAACTTTATTCTCATTCAAACTAAAAATTAACTTTTTTATAATTTTTTAACATAGGGGGTAAAAGAGCATGCTGCTCACCTAATGGTAAGTGACTACCGCCGTCCATGATCGCCCACAGCACCAGAGGTATTGCAGGAGTGCTGTCGGCTTCACATTCTGGTAAAATAGCAAATTATTCTAAAGAGTAGTATAAATTTACTCTTTGGTGATGCATTCTACTATTTAGGTAATAATGGTTGACAGATATTGCCAGGGATGAATTGACGTGTCAATTCATCCCTGGAAGTTAGTTGATCCCAATCCATCAACTAACTTCATCGTGATGAAGTTAGTTGTATTGTATATTTCGACTTAACAACTGATTAATAACTGACTTGCAACTTGCTATTAATACGCGATAAATATTAACTTATATCCTTAAATGACAAACAAAGGACATTAAGAGGGAGACTTTGTACAAAAGTCGATTGCTTGGGTACCTCTGTCCCATTCGTATTTCAACCGTGAAGCAGTTGTGTTTGCATGGCTGTGAAATTTCGAAAACAATGTCCTTATTCCAATACACGTGAGCATTACAATTATACTTCCTTACACTTTAACAAGACCGAGAATGATAACTTCTCAAGCAAAGCAACGCGACAGACAATGACTTGTTTTATTATACCTATATGTAATTTTTTTCTTTCACTTTGAGCAATTTTTTCTATTTTTTATTTATTGTTAGGGAGGCGAACGATCAGACGCCCACTTGATGGGATAGTTACCGTCACCCATTAACGCCTTCAATACGTGAGGAGTTGCTTGTGAATTGCCAGCCTTTTAAATGTTTGTAGGCACGTTTTTTGAATTGCTTCATACTATACTGTAAGAGGAAAACTGAAGATAAAACTTCATTCCACAACCTAGATGTACGAGGTGGAAATGAACAAGATGCACGGTGAATTCCAGCTCTATGGCGAGAGGTACGATGGTAAAATGGTGATGATGGCATCAAGTCATATAACTTCTTGGAATATTCCCCATTTGTAATTTTTTTATGCAATTTTGAATGACAAACGAGCTGATGATAAGTCTGATGAAAAGTTATAAATGTTGCCGATAGAGTAATTTAAATCAATAAGTATCATTACCATGATTTTACGGGATACACTATGACGTCCATGATAAGTACTCTTCGATTTCCGTTGCCATTTGTGAGCCCTAGTATTTATATTTACGTACACACCAATTTAAATTAAATAAATGAAATCAATAAATATATTTACAACTACTTTTAAATGTTTTTACTTGTCTTAAATTTTCGATGCTTACTACGAGTAAATAAATTTACATACATACATACATACATATCTGTCACGCCTGTCTCCCATTAGGGTAAGTAAAAACAATGGAACGCCAAATGCTTCGATTCAGGCAAACCTTTTTCGCTTCTTCCATATAAATAAATTTAACTATTATAATTTATTTATTACTAATTGTATTTTTTATTTTTTCATCCTTATATATATTCAAAAATGAACCCTAACACGTTTTAATTTAATTTATAATTAGGATAAAAAAATATATATTTACTAATATTATAAATACTAATGTTTGTAACTATGGATGGTTAGACGGATGTTTGTTACTTTTTCAACTAAAAACTACTGAACGTATTTGAATGGCATTTGGTACACGAGTAGGTTATATTCCATTTTAGCACGTAAAATACTTTATATGCTGATTTATTTATTTATTTAAACTGTATTGACCAAATAAATGTGGTACAAAATGCGGATTTGATGCTATAGGCATTTACTATCAGCCAAACTTTAGAATGTGCAGAGATACCTGATGGCGGTTTAATAAATAAAATTTGTTTATATTTTAATATAAGATAGTAATTTAATACATACAAATATTCATAAATATACATACTTATTACTGATTCACACAGATGAAGTCGCGGGATATACAGCTCTCTATTTGTATGCGAAATTTGATTCAAATCCATTTAGCTACTTAAGCATGATTGAGTTACAAACATCTAAACATCTTCATGAACTTTCAACATTTGCTGAAGATACCCTCACTCTTGTTTCTGTCACCAAGTATTTCTTCTTGCATCTATATAGATTAAGTATTTTTTTAACACAACTTAGAATGGCAAACAAGCTGACGGCCCACTTGATGGAAAGTGGTAACCGTCGCCTATAGACATGAGCAGTACCATGGACATAACAGAGTATACTGTTTCGCCCATGATACCCCCATGCGTTGCCATTCCTGAGGACTCAGGTGTTATTCCTCTGTACTCTGTAAATTTACGCCATATCCCACCCTTCAAACCGAAACATAGCCATGCAAACACAACTGATTCTCTATTGAAACACGAATAGAACAGAGATACCCAAGCAATCGACTTTTGTACAAAGTCTCCCTCTGGTAATGGTCTGACAGTGGAGTTACAGTATGGAAACATAAAACGCTTGGAGAAAAAGAATTGTTAATAATGAGGACTACCAGACCCATTGCTAGCAATATACTCAACCAGGATGACCTCCTCGTGGTCCCCCCTAGAAACCATCATGCTGAATTTCAGTTGTTTTCGTCGCGGAGAGCTAATTTACCTGTATTTTCATTATAACCTATCATCTCTCACTGATGACTCGCCAGCATATACCATTAGCTCAGGCGAGGTTACCATTCCATTATAATATATACATATAAACTTTGTCAGTTCAGTTGTTAAGTTAAAATGTAATCTTCCCTTATTGTAATCTGTACTAATATTATAAAGGGGAAATATTTTTTTACATATATTTGTAACGAATAAACTCAAAAACTGTTGGACCGATTTCAAAAATTCTTTCACCATTCTAATGGTGAAAGAATTTTTGAAATCATTAACATTAATATTAACATTCTATGTAACATAGAATTAACATTCTAATGTTACATTATTCCTGAGTAACTTACACTACAGATTATTATAAAAAAAATTACCTATCCGTGTGAAACCGGGCCGCATCGCTAGTTGAGAAATAAATATACAAATATCGAAACACCTTCACAGATTTTCTCATTTAAAACGATAGTAGGATTTAGAAATATAGATACTATTTGTTTCTAAAAATTTGAAATGCGAAACTAATTTACGATCAACTTGATGGCACTTGATGGTTACTATTATTTATAGACATAAACCATAGATATATTATCTATGGAATAATTGTAAGAGGTAACTGCAATGATACCCTGCATTTTTGTTGCATTCTGTTAAGAGAAAGACTGGTTAAAAATCAGCGCTGTGCAGCTGTTCACATTGCGCTGGGACACTCACAGCATCAGCTGAGCCAGTTCATTTTGCCTAGTATGGGATACTTTTTATATGTATTTTCTATTATATTTTCATTTATTAGTAACAAATGTTTTTTATACTATTCTAGATATCGTAGAACGTACTGTGACGCCCATGATGCCCCTTAAGCGACAGGACAGGCTATGTATAAACCATGGACCACTATCATCCCCATAATGTTTCTAAAGTGTTGAAGATTGGTTATATCCTAATTTAGCACGTAGTATATTATATATACCGATTCATGCGGGGAAAGCTACGAGAAACAGCTAGTCTATATTAACATTATAAAGAGTTTTGATTGTTTGTTCATTTGTAATGGGTAAACTAAAAAACTACTCAACTGAGTATTTAAAAATTCTTTCACCTATAAAACTACATTTCTACTTTCTACATTTCGACTATTTAACTACATTTTTAGCTACATTGTCAGCTAGCAATATGGGCTATGCTTGCCAAATATGGCAACTACTGGACAATCCCCCCTTATGGGGAAGACCTATATTCACCAGTGGACAGTTAATGGCTGAGTTTCAAAAATCTATCTATCCATGCGAAACCGGGTCGGATCGCTAGTTATATGTTATAAATATAGGGTTTATTGAAACGACACACATTTGATTAACAAATCGTGGATATTTATTGAAATAAAAATAATAAAAATGAAAAATAATAAAAACAGTTCATCTTTCACATAGTTACACAATAAAATTTGTCTTAGTATTTGTTTTGCTAGTTTGTCTCTCCGTTTGTCGTCCGTTTACGTATTTAAAAGTCCAGGACCAAGGTCCCAAGCCTGGGCAAATACTGTACGCGGTATATGTATGTACAATCAAAAACAAAGTGTCTAATCATTTTAACAATATTGACTATTCAATAAATTACATAAATAAAATAATGACAATTTTATTATGTACTTTCTTCTTAATTGTACACTTAATGTATTATTTAAATACATTCAATCGATATGAATCATATTAACACTTGAACACAAAAGTTTAGAAACAAAGATTTAATTTACGCCAAAAAATAAATAAAAGTTTCGTACCAAAAAGTCATTTTAATGTTGAATTAATAATGACTTCTTGGTCCAGAAAAGGTTTCAAGCAGGACACAAGAAATTCTTGAGCAACATCTTACAATTTTAGGTCTTATCCAAACGACGTAAAGGCCATTTTTATTTGGACTAAACAAACAGCAATAGGTAAGTATATACGTCGTCTGAAGAAGTCCTAAATAATTAAAAATTAAAGAGAATTTATGAGGAGACCTGATGGACGACAAAATGTTTCTATTATAATTTACTTATATTTATCTAATATAAATTCTATTTTAATTTACATTAAGTACGTATACTGAAAGATTTCACGATTGGACTAAAATTTAGATATAAGTGAAATTGTTCTTCCACGAATCACAAGAAAACATAAATTTTAAAAACAAAACTGGAATTTGTTCAGTCTTAAAAAATAACTAGCTCCCTTTTGTTTGCTGTAAAGGACAGAATGAAGATCGAATGTCTCGCAAGATATTTAGTTTAATAATTTAAATTCTAATTAATATAGAAATACCTCATTACGAATAACACCTACCCTTATCGATTCCAATTTTGCTTTCTAGAATGCTTAATTATCGATTACAGGAAACTCACCGTTTTTTTAATGATTTTTTTTTATTCTCCATTTAATAAATTTGAAACACAGTGTCTATAAATATGAACATCAATAGGTAGGTACTCAATTTACACATTACACTTACATCAATTTATTTACACAAGTTATTTATCTAGGATAGGAAACATTTTTGCTTATTATTGTACATAATATACTAAAATTACGAAACAACTTACGCCGATACACATACTACATGAAACTATGAAGATCCTAGAAAATACTGGAAAAAATCTAACTTTTTTTTAATTGACACTATACAACTTACTAACTAAATCGCGTTAAATCAACATAGCTAACTTTGGCATTGGTTTCCATATTTTTTTTTCTATAAATAAAAACATGTCAAAACAATATCGAAATAATAACGCAAAGATCGTAAATGGAGCGAACGATCGTAGCCTCCGAAAACAAAAACCTTGCAAACTAACATCAACAATGTAACGGGAACAACACTGGTTCAGTACACGAAAGATATGTTACGTTTGTAATTAAATAATGCCCTTCGGTGATAATCCTTTGGGCTCATATTGCAATGGTCGATAAAATAATACGCCAACTTATTAAATCCTTAAGACTAGAAGTTGAACAAAGTCGACCAGGTTTCCCTCGACGCAAACGTCTCGCGATTTGTCGCGAGGATACAACGAAACTAATTGCTAAAATGTTAGGCCTTAGAATATCTGGCTGGGCGGCGGAGGTGGTGGTAGCCGAAGGCCACCCCACGGGTAGAGTCACGACGCCTCCTCACGGCACGCATTAGAGTCATCAGATAATGCTAAAGGAGCACCATTACTTTGATTCACAACACACTTACGCATGTGCTTCTCTAGAGTAGAGGGCACAGAGAAGGGCATTTCACAAAATCTGCAGCGATACACGTCCTTTCCCAGCCGGCCGTGGGTTTTCATATGCCTCGTCAGCTTGGAACTTTGGGCGCAAGCGTACGAGCATAATTCACATTTGTAAGGTTTTTCCCCAGTATGAGAACGTCGGTGAACGGTCAAGTTTGAGCAGTTCTTGAAGACTTTCCCGCAGAACTCACAAGTGTCGTTGCGACGGCCATCTTTTGACTTCAATAGAGGGTTTTGAAGTAACCCATTACTACTATTCTTAAGCCCATCAAAGATATTTTCTGGTGGCCTTTGAGCATGTAGCGTTGGAAGCCACCAACCTTCTCCTCTGTCCATTTCCAATTTCATTCGTTTCGATGCTTCGAAAGGGTTTTCAAAAGGGTTAAAGAGAGGATGTGGTTGAGGAGGCATCTTAGCGAACTCTTCTTTTAATCGTAAAGCAGCAGTTGGTGGCATACCATTAGGTTTATCGCTCGGCGGGCCATTGTTATTATCCCGATCTTTTGCCAATTGCCACTTTAATGAATTCCCCGATTCTTGCAGGGCTTGTTTGAAAGCTTCACTGTATTGAGCAATGTTTGACAACCCGAACTTATCCATGAGCTCACCAACAACAGATGCACTAGGTGGGTGCGCTGGTATGGCAGGTGTTTGTTTTCGTGGGGGAGCAGATGGAGCACTACTATTTGATACTGTTAAATCTTCAGCTTCCTCTACGTCCTCTCCGTCTTCGTTTTCCTCCTCTTCTTCCCCATCTAGTTCCTCATCATCTAAATCTTCATCAGAATCATCTTCTCCAGTATCACCACCTGAATCTCCGTCTTCTGTATTACCATCGGGAGGTCTATGAACTTTCATGTGTCTTTTCAATTTAGAAGCTTTTTCAAAACATTCATCACATTCAGTACATTTGAAGGGTTTCTTACCGGTGTGTGATCGGCGATGTACGATAAGATTGTTTTCGAATCTAAATTTCTTACCACAAAATTCACAGGAATGTACAGCTTCTTCAGTATTTCGTTTAGCTGGTGGTGTTGTCGATCGATGTTCTGGGGGCGGCGCATCAGCCGCTATTGGTTCAGTGCGGCGTTCTGGTGACGTCGAACTGTGAGGCCTCGTCGCTTCACGAGGCGTGTCCACCGTTCCGGGTCCGGCGCCCGCCGGTGGAGTCTGGCCGACTCGGGAGGGCGACGGGGAAGCGAACGGAGGAGAATGCTTCCTGGGGCTAGGAGAGCTCGAATTGCCTGTGGCCGCCCCTGGACTGGTCGTACCGGCCAGTTGCCGCAAGCGCTGCGAGTAAAAATCCAGCTGTGGTTCTAATGAAAGGGGTTGTGATACTGGTGGGGGTCTCTCTCGTCCTGACATAGATGTTGGGACTACAGGCGGTCGATCCGCTGGCGATGGGAATGCTTGATGTGGAGGGAGAGAATTGGCTGCCACCGCAGCCGCTGCAGCTGCTAAATTGAGGCCATGATGACGAAACTGCTCTGAAACGAGCTGCTCCATCCTGAATCGGTGGTCGTGATGGTTTGGCCGTGCAAACAGTGGCGCTGGAGGGACTGACGGATGCGCCAGTGGTGGTAAACTTCCTGGTAGTGGCATCCTCAGTAGACCACCCACTCCAAAGGGTGAATGCATATCAGGAGGTGGCAATAAGGGATGGTGACGTAACGTCGGCGGTGGCAGTGGCGCCCCCGTGGATGAGCACCCGGAACTTGTTGACGACGTGCTCGATGTAGAGTGGTTTTGTTTACTGCTCTGCTGAGGCAGGGTTTCCATGTAAATTTTCACTCCATGGACATGTTGGACGTGTTGGAGTAACCGCCACGCGGAGTGCACTTTCGTTTTGCACGTCGAACACACGTAGTTGCTCGGTTCTGTGGACAAATGACGGTCATGTCAGTTGCGAACATGGAATAAACTATTAAAGAGTACACGCATACGCAATCGTTTTCCGATGGGTGATTTACAGTAATATTAACACTGGCAAAGTGTCTAGTAATAGCTCTCACATATCGTAGTGTTGGGCCTAGGGTGTGCGCGCGGGCCGCATGCTAAGTAGGCGAAGGTCCAAGGGTTCCGTACGTCGAGAGCTGTGAGTGATCGCCCCTCCGTGTCCCGCGTGATTCATGCACCTCTAAAATCTTATGAAATATACGCGGGCTGGAATCACGTACACGCTCGGGTTAAGACTGTTGATATTGAAATCTATGTATGTAACACTATCCTTGTAAGGGAAATATAAATGGTGATATTATTTTTCATTGTAGCCACTGACCTGAGATTTAAAAAACAAAAGATTAAAAATAATACATACGACAAACTTTACTTTCGATATTTATTTTTGAATACATAATGATGATATTATTTTCAGTAAATTGAATTTAAATAATTTAAATTAATGTCTCAAAAATAAAAATATCAAGTAATTAATTTTTATTAAAAATATAAAAATTAGTTTACAATTGTGACTTAAATTTATTATTATTATTTTTATAACCGAGTATAAAAGAAGAAGCAATAATACTTTTTAATTTTAAAGTATTGTACAATCCAATAAAAGCCGATAGAGAATCAATAATCATCATGTTGGCCGTTAACCGTTCACTGCTGAACATAGACCTCCCCCTTGGTGAGTTTTGCCAGTAGTTGCCAAGCTTGGCAACTGCAGGCTTTGATGTTTTAAGAGGAACGCTGCCCCCCATTCCTTTAGTCTTTGGTCTTTTAGTTGCTTCTTATGGCACCCACGGGAATAAATGGCCAGTATAAAACGTTTTATGCTGGAACCACACGGCAACTAATACATAAACTAACGACGAATTAATATTACAATTAATATAGTTGAAATAGATTTGTATCAGTATTTTTTTTAATTTATTTATAACTTTAATTTATTTTATTTTATTTTGTTTAATATGACTTTTCATGTAAATGAAAATAAAAATAGGAACAATAATGTTTTATTGCGTACTGTGTTATTGGTCATATCCCTATTCGAACCCGCGCCCCTAGGTTTGACAGTGATTTGATTGCTCATTGTGAACTCGAGCCACATTTTATTTCGAAGACAATCGCTTCTTAGCGAGCTTATAGTGATGTAGTAATGTAATCGTACCAGGTTATCGATATTTATTGACCTACTGACATACATATGCACTGTGTATTTTTTTTAATGAGTGAAAATGGAATGATAACCCCACCCACGCATACGGTATACGCTGGCGGGGAACTAGTGAGAGGTGACAGGTGAGGATGAAAGCAGGTCAGTTAGCCCATCGTGGAGAATTTACGAAGAGAGAATTAACCATGATGGTTTCCAGGGGGAACCGCGTGGAGGTCAATCTGATACGGTATGTTACTAGTAATAGGGCTATTTGACCCCATTAGATAGATAGATAGATAATTTATTTGCATTACTTACTTACAGCATTTACTAACAATCCCTTTCACCCCTATTCACTGTGTAGTTCTGTCATAGAATAGACCACTCCTTTCTTTCCCGTGGGTATCGTAAGAGGCAACTATGGGAACCTAATGGTCGAGGGATGGGCAACAGATTCTCTCTTAAAATATCATCAAGATTTAACTGTAGTTGCAAACCTGCTTGTCAAGAGTGACAATTACTGGCAAAATCCTTTATTAGAGGAAGACCTATGTTCAGCAGTGGACAATTAAGGGCTGATATGAAATGGTATATATATTATTTTATTATATATAGTAACATATATATTATTTTAGTAATTATAAATAAAATTTATATATAAAAATATATAGAATTGACATTAGTAACTCAATTCATATAATGAGTAATGAAAAATAAGAATATAGAATTGAAATTAGTAATAAAACTTACTATTTAATACTATGAGATCACTCTCTCACTCTCTTTGTCTCTGTAGTTAGATTTTTTTACTCATAAACATGATTTTCATTTTTCATAATTTATTTACAATGATAAAAAATGTCTATATATTCTGTTAAAACTGGAATAAATTTAAATTGAATTTTAATGAAGTCTAATGGGTAAGTAATGAAAATATCTCCAACTTTACGTAGAGTAAGTTGATGGTAATGCAAATACAAATTGAATGATTACAGCTTGCTAGTTTCATACAATAGTTTTCAGACTTGTATCTAATCTTTTAAATTAGATTTGTGGCGTTACATACGATACATTTATTTTTTATCTTAATCTAAATAAACTCATATATATAAAAATATCGATAGTTTTAAGCACATCACTACAGATAGTAGGCGCGGCACGATAAGCGATCTCGACTGTTAAGACGATTATTGAATTGTAACGGTCAGATTGTGACCGACCGGAAAAAACATATCTACATCGTGTTCCGAAATATATTTTTTTAAATAAATAATTAAAATATATAACTAATTTACCATTTAATATTTATTACACTCATATATTTTTTTAATTTAATTGACCTATTACTTTAAAGTTACTTTTTAACCTAGTCAAATTAATATGACCTCATCATGTGAAGGAAGTCGCAGGTAAATTAGTAAAGAATATGTAACCACAAAAAAAAATTGCTAATACTATAATTTTGAAAATAACGAATAAAACAGAAACTTAAACATTATAAAAATACAGTCGAATTGAGGACCGTCTCAATTCAGAAGTCAATAAAAAAGATGTTCACACTCACATTCCGATAATAGATAAAGTAACTACTAACTAAATTAAACGGCGATTCACACAATTATATAAAATAGTAATAAATCTCGTTCAACTGGTGGGCATATTTTAATGAACTAGTTTTGTAACCAGCCTGTATAAAGATTTATCGCGGTATCAATATTGTGACCTTTTTGTCCAGACATTGTTCATTGTGTTGCGTTTTGGTCATCATGTTGTTTGTACTGATAGCATAAAAATCTATAATTTTATTTAAATAGTTTTTTCATTACAATTATACAGCTATGTGTATTTACAGCATAATATATTAAATATAGAACGACATGTTTTAATAGATATACTATTGTTGTTTTTTTTTTTTTATTACAGCACAAAAGGCCATTAAAATTCAGTTTTTACCGACTATTGAAGAAGGAGAAGAAACGATAAGAGGTTATAACCAAATAACTACTAATATTAATAATTAACAAATATTATTAAAACATGACAATTATATTCCAATAAGAGACTAAAAATTTTCGAGACGAACGGGTTTCAAATTGTCATTAAGTAAACTGTAAATTGCCACGTGTCTAATAATAAATGAAAATGTTTATTAATAACTAGTTTCATTTATTCCGGTTATATTATTAAAATAGATACATAAAAGTAACATTTTTATAACTCTATTTCTCGCTGTCTACTGTGCAAAGATTCGACATAAATATAAATATTTGATGCATAAATTATTATGTAAATAAATTACTAAATTTTAAACGACGTTTTTCTATTCGATACGAATACAAAAAGAATAATTGATAAAACAAAACAATAATTTATTATTTAAATAAATTTACAATATCTTTAAATTTATTTTGTTGACTGTATATAATACGTAAGTAGGGTCAACAGCGAACACGGTAGCGGTACCCAATAGTCCGATTGATACCGGATTATAGCGATTGCTGGCCACATGTAATTTCAATCGATAAGATCGGTATACGATGTAATCGATAAATACCGATAATTAAACAATATTTGCTCGTGAGATGTCAGTTGGGTGGTCGGCTTAAACGGTAATGCGTATTAGAAATTGATTTCATTTAATTTTCTATTTTTTTTTTCAATGCAACTTAAATGGTAATGTAGCTGACGGCCCACCTGGTGGAAAGTGGTATTACTCGTAGTAACAAGTTATCATAGGATTTACTGGGTCACCCATGGTAATAGTACCCTTTATGAAGTGTTATTGCTTAGGATTGTAGTGTAACACCTCCAATTTTACTCAATATTTGGGAGAGAAAGGATTTTTTTTACAACTTAGAATGGCAAACAAGCTTACGGCCCACCTGATGGAAAGCGATAACCGTTGCCTATAGACAAGAGCAGTACCATGGACATAACAGAGTATACTGTTTCGCCCATGATACCCCTTCATGCGTTGCCATTCCTGAGCCATGCAAACACAGCTGCTTCACGGTTGAAATACAAATGGGACAGAGAGCAGAGAGCTCATTCCACAACCTGAGTGTTCGTGGGAGGAAACATCTCTGAAACTGCGCAGTACGCGACCATTGAGGCTGTAGGATGTAAGGATGAATTAACTCCCTGTCGATAGCGAGGTTGCCGACGTTTTTAAAAATCAATGGATTTACTTTTGAAATAAATTCCAATTAATCGATATTGAAATGCTTCGTGCTCTCGAATTGCGACACTAGCGACATAATGGTTCCATATTGTTCTGATAGATGCATATTAGTGTAACTTACCAATGCAAACTGTTGTAAACCGATCCCAATTATAACCTAATTCCTAACTGTTGTTTCACGAGTGCAGTATAAAATTGTCATTAGCAATAGATTGGATTGGGAGGAAAGGAATTGTTAGCAATGGAGTTTGACAGCCTCATTGCTAGCAATATGCCTTATTAGGTCGCCCTCCACGTGATTCCTCCTGGAAACCATCGTGAACAATTCTTGTTGAATTCGTCACGATGGGCTAACTGACCTGCTTCATCCTCACCTATCATCCTTCACTGGTGCTCCGCCGGTGTATACCGATAGCGCGGGTGGGGTTTACCATACCATTTTCACCCATAAAAAAAAAGATTGGATTGATATTTATGTTATATTCAAGAGTAGATATAGTTACTGTTTACCTGTAATCGATTCGCGTTGAGTTCCGATCGTGAATTTAAAATATGTATCAAGAACGTGAAAATTTAAAAATAATTTTATTTTT